CCCCCCCCACACACACACCTCAACCTGTCTAAGCCCCAGGGTGGAAAGGTCTTTAAACAGGCACTCCATGCTGCTCGGAAGGGAATCTCGAGGCTCTGACAGGGTTTCCATCTAGCTACCAGTGACTACAAGCACTCGTGGGCTACTAATGGCAGGTCCCCGATCCAGGTATTAACTTGGGGAAAAGACACACCAGCCAACGCCTGAGGAAATGCCAAACCACCAAAGTCTCAGAACTTCCAGGCCATTTCAAGGCAAGTGGACTCAAAACGCAGCAACAAGCCTGTGTATGCTGGCCCGGGCTAGACTTCTCAGAAGTGGCTTCATTTATAAAGCCACAATTCATTCTCTGAAGTTTATCTTTAAACAAAATGGACAAAAGGCAATTCCTGAGGAAGAACGGCTGGCTGCTTTGTGGGTGGTCCGGAGAAGAGGGAACTGCGTTGTTGATAAAATGTCTTTTCAGGAGATAGGTATGTCCCTCAAGGGCTGATCTGGCCAAGTCCCACTAGCAGGGTGCATGGAAGCCTGGCCCTCCTAATTACGGAGTATGGACCAGCAGTGAACCTGGATGGGGTGTGTGTGTATGGAGTACTGCATGAGAAGAGAAAGGTATTGAGGAAACAACCAGGACAATAGAGGGGTAAGGGGAGGGAGAAGAAAGGGATGGAGGGGGGAAAAGGAGGAAAACCAGGAAAGTATCCAAGCTCCCTTGGGCACTATGATCTGCCATTCCATCATCACAGCACAGGGGAGCCAGGCACAGAGACACTGTCTCAGGCAAGGCATGCGGGAAAGGCTGGATGGTAGGTACCATGGGCATGTCGGAGGATACAGCATGTAGGAGAATGTGACCATCCTGTGGGTGCTCTACAGGGCACGCATGTCCCAGCGGTTTCCATCCTGGATCCAAACTACTTACATTTTGGCCTCACACAGTATGGGTTTAGTGAGTTGGAACAGATTATAGTCCTTTTATAAATACAGCGGAACCAAGGGAGTAGACTGGCGGGTAGGGGCGGGAGAGCAAGGGTACAATCTGAAGCCAAACCTGGCATACTTCCTGCTGTGGCTTTTGTGGTGCCTTTTGTTCTGGAGACCGTAGCCAGGTGGCCCTTCTCCTGGGAGCTGCCTGGATTGACACAGACCGTATACTGTAGCCTCCATCCCTTTTGGTTCTACAAGAACACCATGGTGTTCTCCAGGTAGAACTTTTCTACAGCATGTTTCTGGGTTCTTCTCTTCAGTGGTCACTTTCCCATTTACAGAGAAAATCTAAGACATGTGGGCTTCACTGCCCAGATTCAAACTTTTCTCAGGTTTTCCACTCACTAGAAGAAAAATGTGTGCTGGCTTCTCACCCAGATGAAAACCTTCAATGAAGCTTGTGTTGCTACCTGCCCCTTGGTTATTAGCTTTTACTGAGCAGCTACTGTTTCCAAAGCTCACCCAGATGCCCAGGGAATGGAGGTGCAGGGAAGGCAAGGTACACTGTCACAATAACTGAGCTCAGCTGCCCCTCATCTCTCTCCTGGGCCATCTCCAAGGCTTCTGTCTTCCTTTTTGGGCACACCTAGTGAAGCCCAGAAATCCTCCCCATGCCTCTCGGGAGGGCTTCCTCCCCAGGTTCCCATACGTTGCATCTATTCCTATTCTTCATTTGCTTTGCATTTGAATGACACCAAGCTTCATCTCTCAGCCACAGTTCAAAATTGGAAGTTCCCTGAGAGCATGCTTTCCTCTTCATAGTCCCCAGAGACTATTTTCCACAAAACACGTCCTCAATAAACATTCGTTACTTATTCCCAGATAGAACGGCTTTCCCAAACCTAGTGTTCAGAAAGTACCCCAGGGCTCAGACCCCGAGTTCAGTAGGGCTGGGGCAGGGGGAGAAGCTCCTGGCCCATCGGGCACCATGGAGGAGCAGGCCCTCAGGGCTGAGCAGGTACTCTGCAGCTCTGCGTGGAGTGGCCGGCCGTGGAGGTGTGGGGCTGTTACCTCTGAGGTCTCCAGGGACTGGATCTCCCTTGGGAGCTCCACGGCATGTCTATTGAAGTAGTCCATGGTGATGGCATTGTTCCAGTAGCTCAGGTTGTTCTCAGGGTTGGCCGTCTTCTTCTTCCTCCTCATACAGCACACTGTCAACAGGACGGCTGTGGAGAGAGTCCCAGTCAGAGAAGCAGACTTGGGGGAGACAAATGCCTAAGTCCCAGTAGGGTGCAGAGGAGGTGGAACTGTACCCAGCTACTTACCCCATCCATTCCTTAAAAAAACAGCCTCACGTATCCCAGGCTGGCCTTGAGCTCACTATGTAACCGAGGATGGCCTTCTGATCCTACTGGCTCTACCTTCTGAGTTCTGGGATCACAGGTCTGTGCCCCATGCCTGGCTTTTGCAATGCTGGGGACTGAAACCAGGGCTTTGTGCATATAAGATAAGCACTCCAATAACTGCGTTAGCCTTCGCTCATTTTTTTCAACCACTACCTTTATATTGAGTACCTACTGTGTGCTAGAAACTGTTAATAGTCACCACTGTTGCTGGGCGGTGGTGGCGCATGCCTTTAATCCCAGCACTTGGGAGGCAGAGGCAGGCGGATCTCTGTGAGTTCGAGGTTAGCCTGGTCTACAGCGTGAGTTCCAGGAAAGGCTCCAAAGCAACACAGAGAAACCCTGTCTCAAAAGAAAAAAAAGTCACCAGTGTTTTCCTAAGCATCCATCCTACTGGGTGCTCGCAGAAGAGATCAGATGATAATAGGTAATAAAATGAATCAGGAGATTTCAATAGGATGGCTATCTAGTAAAGACAACATGGCCAAGTGAGAGAGGCTGCTCTAGTCATGGGGTAGCCTCACAGCAAGGGGACTGGCATCATAGGGAGGAGCTGGGCTCATGCAGAAAGGGCAGTATGCCCCATGATTTGGGGACCAGCACGTGCAAAGAAAAGACCAAAGTGTGGACAGCCCAGGTGTGTGTGAGGAAAGAAAGATCAGTATGGCACAGAGTACACGGTGAGGTAGGAGGGGAGGCCAGGGCAGTGTTGAGAGGTGTACCCCAGGGCTTGGGGAAGGGAGGTTGCATGCATTTGGGGGACATTTGTGATTGCTGCAGAGCTGTGCTTTTAGTATGTGTCAAGCAAGGGTTTCGCCTAGGTTCGCCAGCACCAGAACCTTCCACAGTGAAGGGATGGGCGGGGACTGTATGTACCCACCCGACTGCCATCCTGAAGGTGCCAATCATCTCAGTGCCTGGGAATGGAGGCCCAGGCTGCTCTGTTCAGAGGCCAGCACCAGGGGGCAGCAGAGGGCCAGCTCCCTCGGAAACAGTCAAGGGGTTTGAGCAATACAGGGCCAGTTCACTGTCAGGATGCAGGGCAGCTGCAGAAGCTGACACATTTATGAGCTGAGTCCTCAGAGCCCAGGCCCCAGCCCTGGGGGTTCTCTGGAACATTCTGTCACTTTCCTCCCCACCACTAACCCCCCCAGGAGACCATCTCTAAACAAAGTCATGAGGCAGCTTCCATTTGCATTTTGCCTCATCTGCTTTGGACAGGAAGACTAGCCACTTGCTAATCAGGCCTCTAAAGTGCCGTTGAAAAGTCCCTGACACGTGGAGGGGGCTTCTAAATGGGCTCGAGGGGGTTTCAGAAACTGGATGGCATCAGAGTGTTCAAATTTTGTGGCTCTGTCTTTCCCTTGAATCCTTCTGAAGCCCTTTCTCCACTGCTTGAAAGAAGGAAGGGGCAGAGGTTGGCTGCAAAGCCCAACGTGCAAACCACCTCTTCACCCTGCTGGGAGTAAGACACCATGGTCCCTTCTCTCCCTTCTTGTTGCCTTTATTCCTCATAGCCACCAGTCTCTGCCTCTGAAACATCAAGGAGGAAATGGCCAAGGCAATTCAAGCTAGTAAAGCCAAGTCCCTAGAGAAGTAGAAATGCTTAGAAATGCTTAGGAAGTGAGGACAGAGGTTTTCACAGCTCTGCTGAAGCTGGAGCCCAGGGGGAAGCGGGAGTTGTCAGGGATAAACAGCCAATTTTCCCTTGCCCTCTGCGAGGCTATCTGACATCACATCACACGCTTCATTGCCACAGGCTGTAAACAAGGTGTGGGGGGGATGTCCTCAAAAGGTGTGTCTCTGAGGACGTGGGGCATCCATGCCCTGGACCCCGTGAGTAGTGACAGGCAAGCAAGCAAGATCAAGGTGACAGAGAGGGTCTTGGAGACTGTCTGGTCCTGTGGTGAAAGGCAGGTGGGGTTAGAACCCTGTCATTAACACAATGCTTGCAAACCCGAGTCCGGCATTTGACCTCTCGGCCTCTGTGCGGCTCACATGCAATCCTGCACGCAGGAGAATTCTGTCCAGCATCTGGTGACTTTTCTCAGCCGCTATTCTTAGTCTGAGAAGTAGGGAGTAGGAATCCAGAGAGATGAGCGTCCCCAGGCCCTGCTGCCGAGCTGGCTGAGCATGCACATTGCTGTATCTCCAATGCCACACTGTCACGGCCTCTGAAGCCTGGGTCTGTGCAGAGTGCAGTGATCCTGTCTATGGACAGGCTGGTGGCTTCTATTTCTCTTGGGAACTTCCTAGTGTTTCTCACATACCTTCTACAAGAGAGATGTAGAAACATGGGTTCCGTGACTGTGAGGGTCTTGAGGCTAATGCTCTAGCTGTGTTTAGAACTTTTATTTTAGTGGTCTGACCTTTCACCCAGGAGAGAGAGGTAGAGCTGGGCCTCACGGAGTCTAATGTGCACTCAGCACTACGTAAGTCCACAGGCCTCTTCAACCCACACAGCCATGGTGTGAGAAAGACACGGTTACTCTTCCCACGTAGGGAGGAGGTGACGGAAGGCCACTGAAATGAACGTTGATCAAGATCACCCGGCTGATTTCACTACCTTGGACCTGGGCTTTGGTCACTTCAAGTAGATGCTTATTGTCTCCTGCCGCTCTGCACGTCAGAGGGAACACACAGTATGGCGTTAGAAGCCCTTTGTAAGACAGACAGTGAATACCAGGTGTGAGCCACGTAGCCATTTAGCCAAGGAAGCAACCGCCTCATGTCTCCAAAGGCAGCAGCTGTCGAGACTACAGGGGATGAGTGGGGCTCCTCTGTCCTGCAGCTCTAGAACAGCCCCCGAGAGTGAAGCAAGCTCTCTTGGCTTCCCCAGGAACCTTCTGGGACCTAACAGCTGTGGGACAGCAAGAAGGGTCACTGGTATGAAGTTGGAGCCCTGGGTACTGTGTTCACATGACAGGACCTTGTGGGTGATGCGAAGTGGTAATCAAAGCCCACAGGTCCCCCACAGGCCCAACCTTTTCAGACACCCGCTGAACTGCCAGCTGCCGGGCCTGTTGGAACATGCACTGTGACTCCTCAGGGGACGAACCAGCCACCCCTCCTCACTGTCGGTTCTTGAGCACCTTCCCCACGGCAGCCCTGACATAAGACCTCAAGTGCATGCCCCCTGATTTTTACGGGTCCTGCAGGTACTATAAGTGTGCAAAGGCTCTGCCCACATCCTGCTGCCCCTCCAGACTCACCACCATCCCTGTGCCCACCCCCCAGAGGCCTGCACCATGACTGACTACGGCAGGGGTAGCAGAGCACGCTCAGTCCCTTAGGAGCCCTCTACAGCTCAAGGACTCCCACTGGCCCAGGAGAAACACTCAGATATTCCATCCTCATCCTTCCCCATCTTTCCCCATGGCAAGAGGCCTGCACTGCTGCATATGGCTTGCCTTGCTTCCTCTAGCTCTTCCTGGGTCTTATAGCTGCCTTGCATGCCCGATTCCATCTTGGTTCCCCCTTCTTAAAGGGACCTGAACTAATGCAGCAGACACCCCTCTCATCCAAAAGAAGAGAAAATGCAGGAATTCTGGTTAAGCCCATAGTCGAGAGGTAAGAGCTGGGTGTGTGGGCAGGTGTGTCTGATTCCACAAGCCATTTTTAGTACTGGAGGACACTCCATAAAGGATTCGAGTGGCAGCAGATGGGGACTGGGATGTGTTTCAGCTCCTGTGCCCTGGATATAAGGCTACAAGCCTCGGGAAACTAAGGGGCTAAGTGTCTGGCTCCTCATCCTGGTGTGTGGGACTTTGGTGTTTAGAAGTCTAGCAGGGGATGCTACCTTGAAGCCCAGAGATAGCTATTTTAGCCTGACAGGGTTATGGGCAGGGTGGCAATCCATGGTCAATTCTGCCTTGCTGTAGCCAGCTCCGTACCTTCTCCTCCCATTGGTCCCTAATCACAAGGAGACTGGGTGCCTAGCCACACTTCCTTTGGGTCTGTCTTTTCTGCTTCATGGTAAGAATCAATCTAACCTAAGTTTTCTTAAATGGTAATTACAAAGCTAGTTAGGTCCTGTGAGTAAAACTGCATCTCTCTCCCGCACACACAGACAATGCACATATAGGTTTATGTGTTCGTGTGTATTCATAGCTAACACTCACTGAACGATGAGCACAGCTAAGAATCATGGTCCCTATAACATATCATCCCTTAGAATATTGCACTAATGGTCCAGAGTCTGGAAGAAGCCCTGCTCTGGGGCAAGGTGCATGGTCAAGGCCGGGTAGCGGCTCTCCTCTGCCCTGTCAGGCTGAACTTGGATTGGTGGTACACCACCATGTCCCTGCTTCCTTATCTAACCCTCCCCAAAGCTCCAGCTTCTCTGGGGTGGGGGGCATGGCTGCGAGAAAACACTCCCAGTGTGAGGCCAGGGAGCTCAGCAGAGACTCCAAATGGTTCCCTGAAAACCCAGAGCAGCCCCTGGTGAGCAGTGACCAATGGCAGGCCAGAGGTTGCTAACAAGAGGCGGCAGGTTCTGTGCATCCTGATGGTGGCAGCAGAGACCAGTTGAGCAGCCACAGGGCTCCTGGCCCTAGCTCCCAGTGGCCTGGAGCCAATCAATTTCAGTTCTCAGCACATCTGAAGCAGAGTTGGTGGAGAGTGTCTGGCAGGGCTCCGGAGACAAAGCACTCCTCAGCTCTGGCACACTGATGCCCTTCCAGCCACTGAGAGGGCTTGTGATGTGGAAGGCGGGTGGGCTGCTGGCCTTCCATCCCTGTACAGGTTCAGAATTCGCTATTCTCATCCCTCACTTTCACTAGAACTAGGGGAATCGCCCTATGACGAACAAGCACAGGATGGAGAAAGCGTAGCTGGGGTCGAGTCCCTATTGCTCTGCACAACCTGGCTTCTCTCCTAGCCCCTTCCGCTAGAGGTGATAAATTCTACACTCGCACTTTGCTATCAGCCAGACCACCTAGAATACCTGACAGTCTGGCAAGGGCTGGAGTCCACTGTGACGTCTGTAGAGTAGCGTTGGGGTACACAGACTGTAGGGAAGGTTGGAACATGGGCCATCAGGCCTCGAAGAGCTCAGCTTGTCTGATCATTAGATAGGGCAGGACTATGGAAACATCCCAAACAGATGGAAATTTCTATGAACAGCGCCTAGAGTTCTGAGACTGGACAGATATTCCCAGATTGTGGTCAGAGATGGTTCATAAAACCTATGGCCGTGACCAAGGACACAGAGCTTATGTAGAGGCAGCCAGGGCCCAGGCAGAAGTGAGGAGCCACCTGTGTAAATGCAGAAACACCAAGAAAGTGGGCTCTGTTGTCTACATGGGGCTTACATGTCCAGCATGAACCAAACCAGATCTTTAGAAAGTGTGTCCTCCCCTCGTGGCCCCCTGAATCTGAAGGCTGCTCTTGGAGCTCTGAATTGTCCTTGAGGGGCAGTTTGGGGCTGCGTCTCTGTTCCTGCCTTGATTGACATCAGTTAACTAACTCAACAGTAGAGCGTGGGTGATGACCAAAGTCTCCTGACACCTCAGTGCTGTGTATATTTTCTCTAGATAGCGTAGGGATAGAATAAGACATACCTAGAACTCCAACTGTAAACTAGAGCATCCAACACACTTGGAAGATTATAAAGCAGTTCTCACATTAATAATGTGCTGATCGACAGTGCTACGTTTTCTCCATCTCATCCCTCTTTTACAGAATTTTATTTATCTTTATTTTATGTGCCTTGGTGTTTTGCCATGGGTGTCAGGTCCCCTGGAACTGGAATTACAGACAGTTGTGAGCTGCCATGTGAACGCTGGGAATTGAACCCGGGTCCTCTAGAAGAGCAGTCAGTGCTCTTAACCACTGGACCATCTCTCCAGCCCTCATCCCTCTTTTAGAAGCAAGCAATAACACCTGAAAAATTATGTGTTTTCCCACCACAGACAATAAAGCTGCTCTCACTGAGCATGAGGCATCACCAACTTGACACATTCCCTGAACTGGGTCCTGGAGCAGTGTGACCTTCTAGCCCTGACACAAGGCCTGTCAGCAAAGCTGGGAGAAGCGGTGTGTGTGGTGATGAGCAGAAGGCTGGCCATGTCAGGGGCTGTCTGTGCTGACCTGTGACACCAGGGGAGGGTGGTATCCTGGCCTCACAGCCTCTCCATGGGATGTCTTGGGCCTCCATTTAAGACCAAGGTTAGCCCATAGGGGGATCTGAAGCCTGTTGAACCAACAGGATTGATGACCAGCACAGGCTCTGTTAATGTGGCTCAAGTGTTCCCTGCTGACTTCCCTGGTATGCCTGGGTACGGATGGGATGCTGCACTTGTGGGGGACCAGGGATAAAGAGGTGATCATTCAGAGGTGGCAGATATAGCAGGTTTGGGCAATACAGTTCTATGAAGGAGACCCTGAGGGCCATGGATGAGGAGGAGCTTTGGTCAAGAATTTTGCTCCCTGAGAGCCATTCCAATGTCTCTGGGACTGAGGTGGACACCACTTAGGTGTCCTTAAGGTGCAAGGCAAAAGAGGTTCTCAAGAGAACTGGGCAGAACATGAAAGGTCAGATCAGGCTGTCCAGGGGGAGTGAGGAGCATGGGGTGACATCTTTAATGGTAACCATCTGAGGTAGGGTAGGATTGAGTCGAGTGAAGATCTTCTGAGGACAGAGTATGACCTGGGAAGCTGTGAGGGAGACATTCAGGTTCTCAGAGGCCTTTGTGGGTTCTTGAATGTCTCCTGACTCCTCACTCTCTGAGGGACAGGATGCTGCAGAGAGGTGAGGGTTGCCATGGAGTAGAGAATTATACGGTCCACAGTGCACGGAGCTCACATTACTATGAAGGGTAAAGCAGGCTGGGTTGTGTAGGGATGGAGAAGAGCTAGAATCCATGTAACTCTGAGGCCTTAATTGAGCCGGTTCATTAAGAACTGGGCTTTGGCCCAAGGCTGATGGGACTTCCCAGCACACGGAAGCTTTATCTCTTCTTCCTCAGGGCAAGAGAGAGAGATGGAGGGGGAGAGCAGACAAGATGGAGAAGCAGGAGAGGGTGGCGATGACTTTTCCATCTGTAGTCTGTTAACTCTCCAGGGCCACACCCATGGTGCCTGGTCCCTTGAGCCAGGGTAGCAATCATCCTAGGCGGGAAGGACAGATGCTTCAAGAAAGGGCTGCAGCCCGGCCACCCACTCCCTGCCACCTGGATCCCAGGCAGGCCAAGCCTCTTCGCTAGTGTGGTGTTTCTGCAACACGTGTGGCTGGCCAGCTCTGGGAATTGTGGCTTTATGAACCATGGATGTTTGAGTTATACCCTGGACCAGGGACAGGGATGGGTGGGCCATGATTCTCCCCTTGCTGTCTTCTTTGCTGGGGTCTAGGGCTTTCTGTAGCTCACTCAGCGGGGCTACCTAACTCCAGGGCAAGAGAGTCTGGGGGATGGGGAAAGAGCGAAGAGAGGTGGTTACTTACAGCAGGAAGAGATGGGCACACTGATGGCCAGGATGACCCAGGCAATGTCCATCTTGCTCAAGCAGATGGTGGTTCTGTGCTGGGGCTTGTCCCCCTCAGCCACATGGGAGATGTTGCCCACTGTTCCCGGCTTCCAGGTCCCAGCAGGGACCAGGCGGTTGAGGAAGTTTCCCGTGGCCGTGGACAGCACTGTGGACAGAGGTCTGGGCCCCGTGTCGGTTGTGGTGGGGGAGGCCTCAGTCTTCTCCTCGGCTGGAGAAACAGTGCTTTCTGAGACCCCCGAGGGCCAGGTTGGGGCCCGAGGGGTTGCCGATGCTCCCTGAGGGATGCCCTGGGAAGGGACTGAGACACTGGCCTCAAAGGCAGCCTGGGTGGGCCCCGTGGCAGCCGTGGAGACCCCAGAGCTGGCAGATGGGGGTCTGTCAGTGTCAGGGGTGACAGCAAGCCAAGAGTCACTGCGGCTAGGGCTGTCCTGCACGTCACCGTGAGGGCGCTGAGAAGGCACTGGGGCAGGCTGTGTACTGGCAGGGGTGCCTGAGGCTGCTGTGGCATCCGGCTCCCCTGCTGGGCTGGTCAATGTGGGGCCACTCCCCTGCTTGGCTCTGATAAGGCCTGGCTTGTCCTTTGCAGGTACCAGGGAGGTTGTGGGGGGCACCCACGAGGTGCTTCCGGGTGCTGTGGCTGGAGACACTGTCTGGGGCTGTGGCGAAGAGGAGTAGCCCCAGAGTGGGGTCCTAGGGGTAAGAGCTGAGGGGTCTGGCTCTGCAGACCCTGTAAAGTTACCCTTGTAGATCTGGAAGATTTTCCCCAGAGGACGCTTCTGCCCCAGGTGTGGTGAGCTCTGATTTCGTCCCCTCTGGCCTTCCTTCCTTGCTGAGTGGCCACCGGGTACAGGCAGGAGAGGGCGAGATGAACCCCCAGCCCCCTTCCTGGAAGAGCCTGGGGGTCTGGGGGGTCTACGAGTGGTGGCCCGTGGGGGCATCGTGGGGCGGCTGGTGGCTCCTGCTGGCTTTGTTGGCAGGATGGTGGGGGCAGCATCCCCTGGGGGGCGGCCCTCGGAGTGGGAGGATGTGGTTGCCATGGCAGCTGGAGGGGAACCTGTGGGCAGAGGGCTTTCAGGATGGGGGATGGCAGCTGTCACCGTAACAGTGGACATGGTGTCTGTAGGAGGATGCCCTTCTGGATGAGAGATTGTTGTTTCCATAGTAGCTGCAGCCTGTGAGGTGGGTCCATCAGGTTTGGGGTTCAGTGTCACCACGGAGGAAAGTCTGGTAGAGCTGTGAGGTGCTGTCACCATGGTGCCTGGGGGGCTGCCTGAGGGAAGGGTCTGCAGAGATTCCCTGGGAGATGGTTCCTGGACGGCGAGTACCAGAGCTTTGGTCAGTGCCAAGGTCAGGAGAAAGCCTGTGGGGGGGGGAGAGAGGACAGAAGTGAGGAACAAAGGTGTTGGGCACAGCCAGGTCATCCTCACTGAAGACTTGGAGACATCTTGGGGGGAGCAGGAAGGATATCTGGGGCATTCCTTAGGCCACCCTGGCACCCTGGCACTGAGACACAAGAACTGTACACGCAGCTGGGGAAAGTCTGTACAGAGGGAGGAGGATGCTACCTATCATGGAAGATGGCAGCACCGGGTGATCCCGAGGCAATCAGACCAGCCAATCCCACCCTTTGCCTAATTCCCCAGAAGGCCACCAGCCCCCTCCCTCAGTGCATTGTCTTAGAATGGGAGCCTGAGAGACTTGTCGCTGCAGCTGGGGAGTAGTCAAGGCCAGCCTGACCCAGGAGCCGCTCACAGCCAACCAGGGAAGGCTAACGAACTCCTCCTAGTCCTTTTCTTGAACAAGAACAAAGTGCCAATGTCAGACCCCTGCTTATTCAGACTTGCTTACCCCAGAGTACAAACAGGGCAGCCCCCTCCCCCCAGATGACCCTGAAGTAAGCAGAGATGTCCTGGTGTCATAGGAGAGTGATGGGCAGAAGAGGGAACCGGTCCAGAGAAGGGCAATCTCAGATGTAGCTTTCCTAACACCACAGTAGAGTCTGGGACAGAAAATGCTGCAGAAAGACCACTGCCTATGGGAGAGTTGGCGTTAAGTGCTTTCCCTATGGTTCCTCATGTGGCTGAACTTGGGGAAGTCCTCATTGGTACTACTTGGTCTTTCTGAGTTGGAGGAGCCCTTCTGAACAATAAAGAGGGCTGCATAATAATGCATGCCTTATTAGTTTATTGAAAAAATGCAAAAGCATAAAAATCTGAGTTTGAAAGCGTTCCTAAATATAAATGGTTTCATAACCACAGCACCATGTGCCAGTAACCCTGCACATCAACAGAACACATGGGATCATTGAGATCCTGGGCTGTTGTACCATACTGGTTAGGGAGAGCTGGTCTCTGTTGCTGATGGGTGCTGGGACATTCTAATAGGGCCCGATTCTGTGATTCTCAATACCTCCATGTTCACATGCATTCCGCTGTCATTCTTGGACATCTTTTCAACCCTATCTAGACCCTAGAGAGCAGGCAGAGATCTGACAGCTCTCTCGGAGCCTTTCTGTACTTCCCCATGCTCCAGCAGGGCAAGCAGCCACACTGGTGACGTGGGTAGGATTCCCACACGAATTCTGGGATGGGCAGCAAAAAGCTGCTAGCGGCGGCGGCGGGAGGCAGGGTCCTGCTAGGCATTCATGGGAGTTCGGCTAGCCTTAAGGAAGCAGGGAGGGAGGATCCTGGAGGAAGTGTGCCCGGAGCACCGTTCAGTGTGGGGTGGTTTGTGGAATAACCCTTCGCCCTAATGTTCACAGCTAAGCCAGTACTGGGGAGGTTGGGGGACCTTGTCTTTAACAGGAGCAACAGCGCCTACTGTCTCCAGGACCGACGGCCACCCTAAGCAAGCCAGGTTTCTACTCTTTCATTCACAAGTCAGCCCACACACTTGCAGCGCATTCTGCTCATTCAAGTCAATCCTAGCAACCACTTGACAGGGTGGGAAATGAAAGCCCGGGGAGACAAGGGAACATGTGTGTAGTCACACAGTCTCAGGAGCATGGGGAGCCAGGGCCGTCTCTAAAGCATATGCTTTTCCTAGTTAACTGCCATGCACTGATGCAGGGGGAGGCAGAGGCCCATCAGCTGTATCCACAGCAGAAGCAATATGCTACTTTGTTCTGATCTGTTCAGGGTTATTATTCCAGCCCCACAAACCCACACCTTGGAGCTTGGCACCATGGGGGTGGTCCTTGGTGGTGGCAACCTTCGATGTGTGAGGGACATTCTGCTCCAAGTTGGTCTCATGACTGTTAAGAGCTGAACAATGACCGCCCCCCCCCCTCCAATGCCAGAATCTCAGAATTCGACTATCTGGAGAGGCATTCAAAGGGGGAGATTCAAATGAACAGAGGTCAAAGGATGAACTGTAACATAGTTTGACTGGTATCCTTCTAAGAAGAGATGGGGATCAGGGTGATAATAGGGTCACAGAAGGATCCTCTTGTGAGGGCAGGGCAGCAAGAGGGAGGCTGTCAGTAATTCAAGGAGAGGGGCCAATCCTGGTACTACTTTGATCTTGAAACTCCAGCCTTCAGACGCTTTGGGGAAATAAGTATCTGGTTTAAGTCATTCAGAGAGTGCTATCTTGGTACAGCAGCTGGGTACAAGCCTTTTGTATTAGAGCTCTTCTGAAATCGGGGAGATGGGGACAAAGGGCACATGGGTAAGTGGTTTACAGTGGGAGATGATGTGAGGGTCAATCAAGGGGGCTGAGGTTGGTGAAACAGGGAAACCTGGCCCGAGGGACGCTGGGAGCTGATGGCAGCGCCCCAGTCTCACTAGGAGCACCTCACATCATGTGCCTTAAGGAGACACCCTCACCCCTGCTTTTTGGGTGCTCATCCTACCCTCCATACCCCTTGGGTATCACAAGGCTGAGTTAGGGAGGTCTTCGGTCCAGGGGGCTGGCAGGTCATAACTATGTCCACTGGGTGGCTGCTGCTGTAGCTGGAGTTAACATCAAGTCCCTTGGGGACCGCCGAGCTGGAGCACAGAATGTGTCTGGTGGTCAGAGCCCTAGAGCCAAGGACATTATGTTGTTTTGGCTTCAGCGTCACCAGCACAGAGTTTGGGGAGAGACACCAGCTAACCCCAGGGCCAGGCACACAGTGGGAAGCAGACCTACCAAGCCTCCAGCAGAATGTCAGCCGACATCAGAACACAAGGCTTATGCTGCTCCGGGGTTTAAAATGGTTAGAGAAAGAAATTCCCCTGATGTCCTCACCAGGAGCCTCCAGGGGCTCAGATCACCCCAGCCAGACCCTGTGACTGTCCTTACTGCTCTTCAGGTACCAGACTCCCCAGCCATTTCCTTCCTCCCTAAGCAACCTGTAAAGTTTCTTCTCCATCACACATTTAGACTCCGATCTTTGCTACTGTACACGCATAAATTTATTCCTGGGTGCCATGGGGCTTTGGTTAGCATAGTGAGGAGCCCTAGAGTTCACCTAAATCAACCTCTTCACTGGATAGAGAGCTGACCAAGTGGTGTGGCTTGTGCAAAAGAGCACTTGGCTGGTTGGGGAGTGTGGTGTAGCCATTTGGGAGACTCGGGGAGCTCATGAAACTTAGAAAACTTAAGTGGCACTTCCCCAGGTTTATGCAAGTAACAAATGTTTGCAAGGGGAGAGGAGAATGTTAGGACTGCCCGAAAGCATCAGGGAATCTGGGATGCAGCTTTCCAGAACTGTCATTTAAGCCAAAGTGGGGCTTTGAATTGCCCATATTCCTACCCATCAGTTCACCGAGTTAGGTTTGGGTGGAATCATTTCTTTGGTTTGCTGTTGTGCCCTGAATGGGGTGACATTTGTTCATGTCTCCCCAGGAAAAGTCACACAACAAGGAGACGGCCTGGATCACAGCCATTATTTTAAAAATAAAAAATTTCATTTGTATCATAAAATAGCTACAAAGGTTGAACTGTCCAAGTCCTTTAACCTTACTGTCACCTTGAATATGGAAATGAGACAAGAGCTTACACCCTTTCTCCTTAGCACAAAAGGTTAGCAAATGAAGGATGCGATGTGTACTGTCACAATGAATGTGCAAGGCCTTCAACCAGGGGCTCCTCTAACACATGCAAATTTTCATTCAAGGCCCTTTGTACTGGTCTACACACTCCCCTCCCCACAATCTGGAGTGACTGCCTCTTTGCATGTCATTTGCATGGATTTGCATAATGGGCTCCTGAGACTAATTCCAAATATGTAAGAGTCACTAAAACTAAAATCTAGCTTGACATGCTTAAAATGTAGAGCCAAATTAAAAAAAAAAAAAAAAAACGTGTCAGAGTAAGGATAAGTATGGGGGGATGGGGGACAGTGGGAGCCCATAGACTGATGGGTGCCCAGATGTCACAGGAAGGCAGCCTCCTCCCTAGAATTCCCATGCACATGTCATCTCAAAGGATGGAGAGGGCATCCTCCTCCTGTGTGTCTGGTTGGCTGCCCACAGCCCATATTGGGCACTGGCATTTGCATCTGGCACAGGCAAGGAAGCTGCTGGAAGGGTAAACCTTTGCAGGCACATCTGTCCTCGTAGCAGCTGGACAGGGGTGCTCTTATTAGCTCCGTGCTGCAGTCGACAGAAGGAAGCCTGTGGACCTTGCTGGTGGCCACAGAGCTGAGGAATGGGGAGCTGGGATTCGGCGAAGCCTGGCTTTAATGGTTACGTTTTCAAGCCTCGTTCACTTAACAGATCTTTTTTTGTTTTTTTGTCAGTGCTGAAGACTGAACCCCCAGAGTCCTAGGCATGCTAAGCAAGCTTTACCACTGAGCTATACTCCCCACCCTTAACATCTCTCTGCTTGTGTGCAACACCCCCCCCCACTACACCTTCCACCTCCATGTTCTGCACGGTTAAAGGCCATGATTTACCATCTTTGGGAATTCATTTTCTAGGTTGGAGTTTTTCTCTCTTTCTTGAAAATTGTGTTTAAAAGTTTGTATACAAAAAAAAAAAGTTTGTATACATTTGTTATATTGATAATTCATACAAACAAAATAATAAGGAAATTAAATGGAATTCTAAGTATCTTCTTCAGTGGATTCTTCTTCCACATCCAGTTGATAAGACAGGGTATTCTGTCCACTGCCTTTTTAATCCTATCCTGGGCAATCACAGGTGTCTGAGCTATGCCCCCTCACTGAGCAAGATGGCAACTCTCACATTCCATTTGCTTGATGCGACTAAGTCATATTTGCAGGTTCTGATAAGTCCCTTTCCACTAAAAGATGGCATCTACCTCCTTTTTCATTTGAGCCGAAATGGGCATTTGTGACCACTCTGCCTGTCCATGTCATAGTAGAGGTCTCAAACTTTCTGCCTTTCTCTCGGGGACAGTGTTAGTCTTGTATCAGGAGTGTAGCTTCCTCAAAGGAAAGAGCATGTGGGGTGTGACAGGAATTTCCTGAGGAGTCCCTGCTGTTCTAGCCTCAGCCAGGCACCAAATGTGACAGCGAGGAAGCCTACAGGTAGCCCTGGGCTACCACTGGACAGCCACCTCGGAGGAGATGCTAATGAGTGCTGCCGGACAGAGTCCAGTCAACCCTAAGATTCATGACCAACTACACCAAAATATATTGTTATAGCTGTAGCCTCTTTACTAGCATTTTTATTTTTATTTCTTTATTCCTTTGAGACAGGATCTCATTATGTAGCCCATACTAGCCTTGAACTTGGGATCCTCCTGAGTGCTGGAGTTGATGGCTGTGTGCTTCCACACCTGGCGGGCATTTTTATTTTTGTAGACTAGAACATAGTGTAAAGGGTCTGTCAAAGGGCAGGAGTCACTGACTTACAAAGCCACAGTATCGGGAAGCTGGCCCTAAGAGGAGGCATTTGGGACTCAGTCTGCAGGAATGTAATAGTCATTTTTGAGGGCGTGGGTTTCTTTTAAAGCAGTACATTGGGCCCCCTTTCCTCCTCTCCTCTCATGGGATGGCAAAGCATGAGGATCCTCCTGGATACTAGCTCTTGACCTTGGACTTCCAGATTCCAGAATGCCGAGGAAACTATAGATTACCTAGTTGGGGCAGTACAGAGTATGCTGGACATTTGGGGATTTAGATTCTGCATCTGATGCATATCACACAACAACAGCGTGCCTGTAGAACAGCAGGTCAGGCCCCAGCTGTTTTCTTTGCTGACCTTCAACCTTGCCTAGACATGAACTTCCTAATTCCAAAATTGTCTTCTGATCAGAAAGGGATGTCTGGACTGTTGTAACTCCATCTGATGGATGAGAAGGCCGAAGACCCCCCAAAGTAAAGTGACTTACAGTTAACCACAGCCGCACAGGGTCAGATGGGGAAGCAACTCAGGCCAACACACTGCCTGGCTAATCCCACTGAGGTTCCCAACTTTTAGGACTCTTTACCCTCTGTGTTTCCGGCACTCTAGTGTGTTCTGTTCTTTGAATTCCAATGGCTCCTTTTATTTTAAAAACCACATAAAAATTCCAGTTCTTTGGAGCATGGTTATAACTTAGAACTAAATATGGCATCATTGAGTTCAGGAGGCCCGGGTCACTGTGCTGAAGGCAGGGCTCTTGACCTTGACTAAGGAGCCTGCAGCACAGATCGTCGGCATTTCCCCTTCTCCAGGCAGCCCACCCCACAAGCTCCCTCCCATCAAGTCGGGCATCCATTTTCTGGGCTGAAGGGCAGAAGCTCTGCTCAGTACTCTGAGCTAACTGGGGCCGTCACCTGGTGGGTTCCAGAAATGTCCAGAGATCACGGGTTCAACAGCTGGACTGATGAGATCCATGACTCCACTGGGAACTGCTTCCCAGAGCATAGTCTCTAGAACACAGGCAAGCAAGAAAACCATGTGAGTCAGGCCTGTGTGTCCTGACACACCTGTGGCCTCTGGCCAATGTGAGTTTCTCTTGTGCTGTAGCTCTGGGAGGCTGATAGATAAGTTTTCTAGCCAAACATGTATGTCCACGTGTAAGCATGCATGTACATGTGTGTGCTCACAACCACATACATGTTCATGCACTCTCTTCTCCCAGCTCCTCCTGACCTCACACACATAGAACATAGCCCTTTTTCTTGGAACAAACAGACAAGCATGATAAATTTTCAGGTCATGTTTCCCCCATCATCTCCAAGCTATCATGTGGTTAAACCATTTGTCTAAAGTCCAGAGGGCGCCTCGCAGCAGTTCAGGATGAAAGCCCAGGCTTTGATCCTAGACGCTCAAGATAGAGATCCTTAAGACTGAGGGATTTTTGATTCAGGAAAATGTCCTGCATGAGCAGAGGAATGTAGGATAAAGACACTGTTATTATTGAGAATACAACCATTGTTATCAACGACCATAATTTAAAACCCTATGCTCTCCAATGCAGCAACACACAGGCAACTCCGCAGCCTTTTATTTTCAGCCTTTGGTTATCTACGGTAGTTATTCTGATTTAACCCAAACATTCTCTACCTCGAGTCTTAGAAGGCAACTTTGCTGGGAACCTTGTGTGTGTGTGGCGGGGGTGCTTCTACTCTCTGAGCTCCTCTCTCTGATGGAAATAGGCAAGGCTTGGTCTACTTCCCACCTGTGCTCTGTCTAAACCACCAGTGTTGGGATGTCAGGTTCAATGTTCTAGCTCAACACCTGAGCTACAATAAATATTTGCTGAAGAATGGGACCCTCTGAAATCTCTGTCTGCCTTGGACACAATGTGACACAATGGCACATCTGAACCTCTCCTTCTTCAAAGTGACTTTGGCATGCCCATCGAGAGGTGGCTTTGTTCCCCCCCCTGGGTGTGGTGGGACCAGCGACTAAGGCTGAGTGACTTCTGAGGCTAGACCTGAAGGGTGTGGTCCTTTTCCTGTGTTCTTGGGGGCACTTAGAAGCCAGTGAGTGTGCTGTTTGGAACCTGAGCAGCCCAGAAGGGATCCTGTGAAAGGGAACTGAGGCAGAACCCTGGCCTTCAGTGCTGGGGAACGTCTAGCAACCAGCCAGCACCATATGGTCAATGGGGATGTGGACATCGTAGCCTTAGCCAAACCACCTAGCTAAATCTTTGGCAGAGATAAATGACCCTCTTTTCAAACTCCAGTTTTATGAATGGAATGAGGGATAATTATAGTTTCCAGTCCTAAGTTTCAGAGTGGTTTGCTAGGAACAATAATGAGTGAAATACCACCCCCACGTGGTATTAAGTGGTCACTCTCGGTTTCAACATAGGGGTTCTGCCTTCCTCTTTCTATAGCTCCATGATTTCCATGATAGATACAAGTCCCCCCAACCCCCAAAGAAGAAGGAAACACAGGAGCTTGGGACACTCCTATCTCCTGTCACACAGGACACAATAAAGCTGGGAGAAACAGGTCCCTGCAGACGGAAGGTGTGGCCTCCTGCAAGGCTGTACTAGAAGGGAATGAAATCAGCCGAGGGAGCACATAGCGGCAAGTGAAGGGGTCCCTTGAAGACTCCCCAGGCCAAGTGAGAGTTGGAAGAAAAGACCAAGGCAGCCTTTACTAAGATTACAGGGTCATCAGTATTCAGGGGCCATCTCGGTGACATCAGAGGAGAGAAAACAAGTCCTGAGAGCCCGTGACTCTGCCCAGTTAACCCCCAGTTAAGGGGGTCCTGAGAACGCTGGAGAGGCCAGGGTGCAGTCAGTGGGAAGGAGGGGGAAGCTGTCAGAGTTCTAGTGAGACAGGAAAAGTCCTGGGGACCTACTGTGCAACATGTGACTATAGTGAATGATATGTGCTGCACATTTCAAAGTGGCCAAAAGCAAGGGTTCAAATCCCCAGTGTGCTGGTGTGTACCTTTTATCCCAGCACTTGGGAGGCTCAGGCAGGTTGCAAGGTTGAGGCCAGTCCATGTTACATAGGGAAACTATCTCACAAATAAAAGAATTTAAAATGTTTTTCACCACAAGGAAAGTATAAATTTCCAAGTCAGTCAAAAATGAAGTAAGACAGCCAGCCAGGCATGCTGGTGCAGGCCTTTAATCCCAGAACTTGTGAGGCAAAGGCAGGTGGATTTCTGGTTCAGGGCTAGCCTGGTCTACAGAGTCAGTTCTAGAACAACCAGGGCTACACAGAGAAATCCTGTCTCAAGCCCCGTCCCACCCAAAGCAAGACTTCAGAGAAAATGTTCCCTGTTTTACAGTGCTGTGGGATGTCCTTCTGTACGCTGTGAATATGTGTTGCTCTCACTGGTTGATAATAAAGCTGTTTGGCCAATGGTGAGGTAAGATAAGGTTAGGTGGTATATAATCAAACTAGGGATGGAGATGAAGAAGGGTGGAGTTGGGGCAGCCACCAGGCAGTCACCAAGGAAGCAAGACATGTAGAAAATGAGGTAACAAGCCACAGACCACATAGCAAAGCATAGGTAAGAAATATGGGTTAATTTAAATGTAAGATCTATCTGGTAATAAGCCTGAGCCATCAGGCCAAGCATTTATAATTAATATAAGCCTCTCCTCTGAATGGTAATTTGGGAAGTGACTGCTGGGTATAACTGGGCATACAGGACAGAAAGCTCCGCCTCTGGTTACATTACAGAGCAGAGCTTGAGGCCTTCAGCTAGGAGATTAAAAGTCAACAGTGGCCATGTCAGAGTCATGATAACAGTTGACATATTGATATGAAAATGGCACCTTACCTTTTCAGTTTTCTCCCTTAGGCCTATAATCCCAGAGTGATTATAAAACAAACACCAGAAAAGTCCCAGGTTGAGGAACACTTTACCAATATCTGGCCCATACTCTTCTGATAAGAGTTGGGCCAGCAGGAAGGCTCAGTGGTGAAAGTATTTGCTGTGTGGCCTGGAGACCTGAACTCCATTCCTGGAGCCCACAGAAAGGTGGAAGGAGAGAACCAATTCCAGCTCCATACAATTGTCCTCTGATGTCCACACATCACACACACAAACACACACACACAGATGTCTCACAAGATAAAATCAACTATCCCCAACTACAATGAAAGCCTTTTTCTATCTCCCTCTCCCTGTGAGGACCCCTCACTGGGAACTCACCTGTGGCCTTCTTGCAGCATATACCAATAGATTCTCTTTATCTTTTATACCTGTAGTAAATTCTTTCACTGCCACGCCATTGGCCTTCCAGATACTGTCTTGTGCCTTAGGAGACTGGATCCAAACCATCCAGGAACCTCACTACAGACACAAGAGTCCCTTCTTGGCTCAAGGCCTAAGCTTTCCAAAGGTTTTCATTTTTGTGGGGGTTGGGTGTGGAAAGTTGACAAGGTAACTCCATGAAGGGCTTCTCCCAGAGATGCACGGGACATGTCTATGGGATGTATCCAAAAATGAGGCAAGGTAGAAAGACAGGAGAAATTGAACAGATGTGGGAAGAGGGAGGCTGCTCATCCTAGGATCTAGTTTGTGTTTCATGCTGGTTGAGAGTCCAGAAACTTCAACACGGCTGATAACATCGGCACTACCCTCAGAGCTAGGGTGTGCTTTCTGTGATCGGTATTTTCATGTCAACTCGACACAAGCTAGAGTCATTTTGGAAGAGGGAACCTCAGTTGAGAGAATGGCCCCACCGGATTAGCCTGAGTTCCATTTTCTTGATTGCCTGGGAAGGGCCCACCTCACTGTGGGTGGTGCCACCCAGGGCCAGGTGGTCCTGGGTGCTCTAAGAAAGCAGGCTGAGCAAGCCAGTAATCAGTGTTCCTCCTGATTATATATATAGTGAAGTCTATATCTTCAGTTCTTGCCTCCAGGTTCCTGGCCTGTTTGAATTCCTGTTCTGACTTCCCTCAGTGATGGACTGTGATGTGGAACTGTAGCTGAAATAAAGCCTTTCCTCCTCAAGTTGCTCTTGGTCATAGTGTTTTATCACAGCAATAGAAACCCCAACTAAGATACCATCCTAAAGACACTCCCAACAAGGATATTAAAAGCAATAACATGCTTACACCAGTTTCATGGCTTTGAGTTGAACTGTATTAGCGCTCCTTTTTCATCTACAAATCTAGATAAGACACCTTATAAAACTGCCTTACAGTGCCATTACAATAAGACAAATCAGTAAACTAGCTCATATATTTCACGCTTACTATTATTTATTTGTGTGCACACGTGCATTTGTGTATGAATGGATGTCACAGTGTGCATGTGGAGGTCAGAGGGCAACCTTGGATGTGGGTCTTTGCCCTCTACCTTGTTGGTTTCCCTACCCCCTGCTTCTGTGCATGCCAGGTTGATTGGCCTGTGAACTTCCAGGGATTCTCCTGGCTCGACCTTCATCTCCCAGCAGGAACTCTCGGATCACAGATGCTTACCCCGTGTGCCTGGCTTTTATGTGGGATCTGGGAGTTTGAACTCAGATCTACATGCTAAACTCAGATCTTCACGTGTATCTACAGAGCCATCCCCCTTAGTCTAATTTTCTCCTTTAATTTTAAACTCTACTTACTATTAGAACTTTGCTTAGCCTACTAATAGCCTACTATTAAATCTCGTTGTGAACCACATCCTTTGAATAATGTAACTTAGAACGTCACAGAACCGCCTGTGTGATGGTTCAGTTGGTAAAGGTGCTTGCCACCAAGCCTGATGACCTGAATTTGATCCCTGAGACCCATATAATGGAAGGAGGGAGCTAACTCCCATAAGCTCTCCTCTGGCCTCCACACATGCTCTGTGATGTATTCATATCCATATGTGTTCACACATAATAAATGTAAAAGACCACAAAATCACACATACAGTAATTGAAAAGACATTTGACTTTGACTGTGACTCTCTTGAGAATCCCACATCCATGTCATGTGTATCTCACTTTTACCTATGCATCTCTAGCTTTGTG